GCAGTGTAGCTGGCTGGGGAAGAACAGGATCCTTCAAATCTGGTAGTAATCGTCTTATGGAGACCAAAATTACTATCGTGGCCAAAAAAAATGTAAGAAACTCTGGGAGAACCTTCTGACCCCAAGGATGATATGTGCAGTTCATCCTGGAGGATCTTGCAGGGTATGGGAAAATTATTAATACAGTCAGTCTGGATTATTGTGTCGACCCAACAATGAACAATAAACCAAAGTAAATAAAGTGAGGATAGTAATGTGTTTCATTTGTGTGTTGTTAACAGGGAGACTCTGGAGGTCCTTTGGTGTGTGGGAATACTGCTATGGGCATTGTTTCCTTCGGTCAGAGGAACAAGTGTGATGCACCCACGAAGCCGAAGATTTTTGCCAAAATATCTGCATTTCTGCCCTGGATCAAGTCCATTATTGGTCCATTATAAGTTTCTGCATTTGACGAAAGCATTCACCACAATTTCATCTCAGTAAAAGCATATTCTTTGGTGACAATGTCTATGAGAAATCCTGTGGAAAGTCATCCTCACAATTCTGTATGATAAAGTGTAACAAATGAAGTCAAACACCAAGGAAGGAAAAAACAGGTTAATGGTGGTCTCCCAGGGCCTGACCACACAACTTTAGACAACCTCTTACACTTTTAGTGCTTGAATGTGATGAAGTCTGCCATAAGCAAGGCCACGCCCACTCTAAAACCCACCCCATATTCCTCTGGTCTGTGCTCTTTTAATGTCTGAAGTACAGTCGATAACAAAAGCAAACCTAGTGAAACATTTTTAGTTGTTATATATTTTTAATGAGTTCTCTGCACATGCAGTAAACATTTACATGCTAAAGTTTTTTTCTTTTTTGTTTTTGGGGTGACTTTTTAGCCATGTTAACATTAAATGCAGTGGCTTGTTGTCAGTGTTGGAGCACACCATTGACCCCTACTTTGACCTCCTCCTTCTTGAGGTGTTGGGTTGGTTTAAAGATGTGATTCTCAGTTTGTTCCCACCTCGATACGTCTACGCTCCCGCTCACATATAGCCCAAAATTTCTCATGGTTGTCCCCAGACATTCTCATAATGAGATCAAGCTGGGCCCCATGTGAGCATTTTAATGGACACTTGGAGATACATAGGAGATTCTAAGGGAGCAAGATACTGAACAGACCCTGAGTCAGCAGCAAACAGGACACAGTGCTTAGATGTAAATACAAAGCAAACGTGTGTTAAAGCTGGATCAACAACTGGGAAAGCACAGAGATAGAAAATCAGGAAATGTGCAGATAATAAAAAGACTTTTTAGGTTACAGGTCTGTGGACCTACCCAGTGTTGTGGCTACAGTGACCTCTAGAGGTGAGGAGTGGAATCCCCAGGCACAGATGTGACATACAGATAGTGTATCTGAATATACAGACCAGATTCATGCCAGTTGTCAAACAAACTTCAGTGTTCAATGTTTACTCCATCTAATAGTTATAGACCAGGTTCCACCTAAACCTGCATCTGCATGACTTCTTTTAGCAGAGATGGCGGGGGTCCCTTGGAATGTAATAAAACTGCTGTCAGTAAAGTTTGTGTTTTGAAGAAGGGGAATTGTTATCACACAGCAAATGACTTTCTAAAGACATCTAAATCTATGAAACAAAGAGTGCTTCAACATTAATTTTTTTCAGTGAAGCCTTTATTAGTACAGAAAATAAAAACGTTGCGGTTTCTCTGGTCAAATGACATGTTCTGTTGATTTTCTAGGTGAAAATAAGTGATCACATCCTCTACTGAGAATACACTTTTTAACCCCTTACCAAGCCATGGGTCTGCTGGTGGGCCCAAAGTTTATTAAACAGTTCCATAATCTAACAAAAGTTCCATTATTTTGCATTGAAGTCCCTGTGGTTAATGAACAATAAGCCATAGCATGTAATAAGCCTGGAATGTTAAAGGGTTAAAACACAATTACTGTTTATTTGCTGAATTTAATAAATTGAGAAGAAAAAAATAAAACATAAAAGGGAAAGGGAAGAAATAAAAATGTACTGTCATACACCATTTTTCCAGATCACTTCTGCATATTTTGAGTACCAAGATGCTCTGCATTTTATGCACCCATGGCCATGTAGACATTGTATGTTCTATTTGAAAATTAAAAAAAAAAAAAATCACAAATAGTGTCCTGTGCAAAAGTTGACACATTTTAGATTTTAGATTTTTTCCCACAATACATCAGTGATAAAATAAAAATTGTGCACCAAAATATGCAGAAAAAAATCCATATTTAAAGGCATTGTCTGTCAAAGGTGTATTATTTTACTTAGAAAATCAGTAAAACGTTAAGGATAATATTAGTCATTTGACCAGGGGTGTTCAAGCTTTAGTATATGCCTGTATGTGTAGACATACTTACATAGATAGGCATATACAGCAACAACCAATAATAAAACGAACAACAATATTAATAATAATATATTAAAGCCCTAACATGGCCAGGGCCCACTGGCAGGCCCAAAGATTTATTACACACTTCTGTAATCAAAGAGTAGCTCAGCCAGTTTGCATTGAAACCCCTGTAGTTTGAATAATAAGCCTTAGCCTGTAATAAGCCTGGGATTTTAAGGGTTTAACAGCTATTTATATTATATTATATTGCCCAAGCAATATAATCATGTTATGCCATATCCAAGAGGCACTGCAACATCAGGAATGGGTAGTGAAGATGACAGATTAGTGCAGCAGTAAGTAGTGTTGCACTTTATCTGTAGAATGTAGTTTTCTGAGTTTGATAAGTGTCACTGACACAGAACACAACAGCTGCCAAAATCCTCAGCTTACTCATACCAAGACCACAGGAGTGACCACAGACGCAGTTCTCATAGCAACTGTGAGTGTTCAAAGGCAACATTTAGATAAACTGCACTTCTGTAGAGTCAAGTGTTCTGAATTTACTGAGTCATTCACACAGAACACAACGTGCATCTACTTCTAATGAAATAAGCTGCACAAACCATCAGTTTACTGATGAAATACTCTGAAAAAGCAACTAGAAGAACAAAAGCCAACTTGACCTCTAACTGCACACATGACTCCGTGAAACATGCTTTCTTCTTTTCTTAAAAGTACCTGTCTGAGAAATGTAAAGGCTTTTGAAAGGTTTTTTGTTATTAGTTCCTATAATAACCTAATAAGCAGTGATGGGATCAAAGTGCACCCTACTGAATTAGGCCCAAACCCCTTCATCACAAGTACATCTAAATCAGCAATTTAAAGCTTCATTGTCACATACAGATATATTTTTACTCGCATCTACTTATATTACTTTATTACTGGCCACAAGAATATCCAACAATTGATTACTAGAAGGGGCTGAGGTGATGCAACCAGTGACTTGCAAAAAAGAAACAACTGCCAACACTTCTCTTGTTTACTGGGTGCTGCAGGGTGCTTTTGATTAAAAAAGAAACCCCCAGTCCAACTCTCAACCCACCCTCCGTGCCCCCCAGCCCTTTAACAGACTGCTGCCTCTCATTTTGAGCAATGGAAATTCTGAGCGCAGATAGAAATATTATGTAACCCTTTATTAGTTAACTGGCGTCTGGCACATCATCATGGTTAGAATACCAAAATATAAAACACATTCATATGATTTTTAGGGTAAGAATAAAATACTAAAAGAAAAACTTCCATGAAGTGAACTGTATTTGACAAAATGAACCCTCCTGTTATGTTTTCAACAAGGACCAGCAATAATATCCCCAGGTCAAATTGACCTGATGCATGTTTATATTTGTCTCCATAAACATTATCTTTGGCTCAATTAATATCAGTTCAATAATATTTAGTATAATCAAGTTGTCATCTATTATAGATCATTTTATGTATATGTACCTATTTTATGTTATGTATCTATTATAGATCATAGTTTATGTATAATAAAATTTATCATCAATTTTTGTACATTGACAAAAACTACACATTCAAGACATTTGTTTATTCTTTTTAGACTTTGTAAACATTTTTGACATTTTCTGTCAAGCTGATTAACACAAACAAAACATCTCTCCTGTTCCAGGTCAAACTGACCCTTTCAAATCAAAACCCATTAAATGAGCCCATCAGAAAACGTTTCATGCTCAAAAAATAAAAAAAAACATTTTTTCCTGTTTTTTAAGCTTTGAAATGGGTCAGTTTAACCCACAACATAAAGCAAATGAACAAAACCAACAAAACAAGCTGCACTCTGGTTACTGCAGAATTCAGAGACAGACTCAAGACACAAAGTAGTGCTGACTCTACCGATTTGCTTTGCAAAAAACAGCAAATTACTGTAAAATCCGACATTTGAACTTCTTTGGCAAGAAGTTTGACCTGTTTCTCCCAGAATGCAGCATTTATACAGAAATTATCTGTATTTAAGGGATACAGTAGATACTGCAGTATTCCCACTGACAATTTACAGAACTTCTTTATAGTGTGAACATCAGAGGATTATGAAAAGCTTCACATCAGCATCTTCAGTATGATTAAAACCAAGAAAGTGCAAAAAGATGAGGAGAACTCAAAGGATAGTTTGCTGGTTGTTTACTGCAGCACTGTATTAAAACTAAAAGTTCTATATTTTGGGACAATAGACTTGGAAAAGGATTTAGATAAGTTTTTCAGGAGGTCTGAGATGAAAAGGCTCTAGAATCAGCCCTGATATATTCTGTAATACTTGCTGACTGTTTTTGTAAACAATGTATTAAATGTTTAGTTTTTTTGCTGCACCTACATTTCACTGCAGTGGTTAATGAAGTTTTATCTTATCTTAAAATTGTGTGAAAAACACTCCGCACTTTGTTTTCCGTGTCAAGACTCTTAACCACATAACCATGAACCAGCTATCAGATAACACAGAGTTCAATAATACCACAAAAAACTGTGGGAAAGAACGTTTGTGGTGAACTGACTCTTCCCACCTTTCTATTTAAACTCTTCTTCTCCTCCAAGGAGATCAAACTCTCTCCAAAGAGCATCATGGCTCCCATCTCTCTGCTTCTGCTGGCTGCTCTGCTGCCGTACCTGAGCCACTCTGGTAAGCGTCATTCAAAAATACCTACTTTCTCTGAATTGTTCTTACATTTAAAGCTTGATTAAAGTTAGAGTTGTTATTCGGCTTTCAGAATTCTCACATGTAATTTTCAGATGCATGAATTATAAAATAAAATCAGTCTGTTTTGAGTAATTTACACTGAGTATGATTATAACTCCTCCACCTTCTTTCTCTCTCAGCCAGTGTTAATGTTGGTATAATAAATGGCACGGAGGCTAAACCTCACTCCAGACCCTACATGGTGTCTATTCAGGAATATGGATCACACCAATGTGGCGGCTTCCTTTTGTCTGAAAAATTCGTCATGACGGCTGCGCACTGCCGAGAGGAGTAAGCTTTTATTTATAGTGTTTTCTTGATGTAGGTCTTAGGATGAAAATGACTACTTAGATAAAAATGTACGTATTTAAAGATTGTTAACTTTTATCATGTCATTCATGTAGACGCTTCCAAAGCTGGTTGTCTGGACAAATACCAACTAATTCACAAACGCAAAAGTAAAAAAAAAATTTGAGGAGAAATATGAGTGAAACATTTGAAAAGCCACTCTTTTCAGTCTTGGTACTTTTCATGATTTTACCCAACATAATTACACAGCAGTTTGGAGATTATACCCCACTCACTTACAATACAATACACTGGTTAAGATCTAGAACTTAGGGGACTGTAAAAGAAACCACAGTCGTTTTGTATTAATATTTTAGAAATAAAATATTGTGATATAACTATTGCGACCAAATGCGAGAATTCGGCTGAACATCTAAAATGTTTTTCTAAACAGTAAAGAGACGCTTACAGCAGTGCTGGGTGCCCATGATCTGTCAAACAAGCAAGAAAAAGGTTCTGTCCGCATGGAAGTGGAGTCTTACTATCGCCATCCCAACTACAGTAAAGGCACTTTGGACAATGATATCATGATTTTAAAGGTAAATAAATATTTACACTAATCTACAAAACAGAATGTCATAAATAACAATGAATAACCTCAAATCATATTTGGAAGATCATTCTGAAGTTTGCAGTCTGTGGCCAAAAGACCTGCCACTTGTACAAAGTATAAAGTACAGTTATGTTTAGTATTGAGTCTTTGATCCATTAGACAGAGTCGCTAATAATAATGTATAGCATTTCTTTACATACACTTGAATGTACATTGTTACTAACTCACTTACTGAGGTACATTTACAAGCTTATGTGTGTAGACCCTGAAAGGGTTTCCAATCCTCCAAACATGTTTAACAATGGAAAAGAGGGGCTCAATATCTATTAAACTTTGTATATTTGTTGATAATGTACCAAATAATAATCTTGCCACAGTTGCGTGGAAGAGTCAAAATGGGCCCAAATATCAGTTGGATTCCCATCCCACAAAGAAACAAAGATGTTCCGGCCAACATGGTCTGCAGTGTAGCTGGATGGGGACAGACAGAAGCCAAGATACTCTTACGTGATCCTCTTATGGAGACAAAAATAAGAATCGTAGGCTACGCACAATGTAAGAAGCTCTGGGGGCATTATCTAAGCCCAGTGAAGATGTGTGCAGTTCATCCTGGAGGAGTTTGCATGGTATGTAAAAATGTAGGCTCATAAATATGGTATTTCATCTTGTTTTGTCCCAATCCAACATATAAAGTAATACAATATGTAAATTCTGAGTACTGGTTAGACAGTAACACTTTAATCTGTGTGTTTTTAATAGGGAGACTCTGGAGGTCCTTTGGTGTGTGGGAATACTGCAGTGGGCATTGCTTCCTTCATTCAGGAATGTAATGCACCCACGAAGCCAAATGGTTTTGCCAAAATATCTGCATTTCTGCCCTGGATCAAGTCTGTTATTGGAAAAATGTAATCTGCATTCAACAAATGAACAAAACCAGAGCATCTGCCTAATTTCATCTCAATAAAAGCATTTCTCAAGCATATTTCTCAAGTATATAGTTTCACTTTCCTTCTAGGCAAGAAATGGTACAGAATAAGAGACAAATGATGTTTTAAAACATGTAAATAAAATGTTTTTTTTCTCATATAATAAAGTTGCAAAAGTAATTGTAGTTTCACCCTGAATATAAGAAAATCTGTTCATTAATAAACAAAAACTGGGTTTAGCTTAACATTTTTTAAACAGACAGAAATAAAAAATGATATTAAGATAAAGAAACATTAAAAAAGATGAGTCACATATTAAAACATAACATGTTATGACTTATCATCTTTAGAAATGAAACAACTCACTGACTGATGCAAAATGAATGTGATGTTTTTCTCATTTACTGCATCATTTGTCAACCGTCAAGCCACATGGGTCACTTAAAAATATATTTTGCACAGTTCATCTGTGGGTGTGCACAGGTGATAGATTTAAACGGTACAAGCAACACCACTTACATTTAAATCAGGGTTAACAGTGAAACAAATGACAGGATAACATTCAAGTTGCTTATATCTGCTGCCTCAATAGCAGGGAAGTCTTTCAATTCAGTTGGAATAAAAAACACTCCTCTTGAAAACATAAGGATGACACTCAACGTATGTTGTAACTTTCTCACGTAATATAGTCTAAACTAGCATAGTATGGGCTTGCCTCCATCTTGTTTTCTGCTTTACACTTCCTGCTCTCCATCTGGAATTTGCACGTCATTCGAACCATGTGACTGTAGAGAGTGTATTAGAGATTGTAGTCCATCTGTTTCTCTGCATAATTTGTTGACATTTATCAGACACAGCAGTGCTGCTGGAGTTTTTAAACAGTGTCCACTCACTGTCCACTCTATTAGACACTCCTACCTTGCTAGTCCTTATAGATGTAAAGTCAGAGACGACAGCTCATCTGCTACTGCACAGTTTGTGTTGGTCATCCTCTAGTCCTTCATCAGTGGTCACAGGACGCTGCCTACAGGACGCTGTTGACTGGATATTTTTGGTTGGTGGACTATTCTCAGTCCAGCAGTGACACTGAGGTGTTTAAAAACTTCAGCAGCGCTGCTGTGTCTGATCCACTCAGACCAGCGCAACACACACTAACACACCACCACCACGTCGGTGTCACTGCAGTGCTGAGAATGACCCACCACCCAAATAATACCCACTCTGTGGTAGTCCTGTTGGGGTCCTGACTGCTAAAGAACAGGGTGAAAGTGGGCTAACAAAGTATGCAGAGAAATGGATGGACTACAGTCTGTAGTTGTAGAACTACAAAGTACTCCCATGTAGGTGAACTTGATTAAATGGAAAATGAGTGAATACAAGGCATCTGTAAATGATAAAGTGGCAGTGTATGTGTGTGTGTGTATATATATAACAAAGCACAGTGGTTTTCTGCACATTTCAGTTTTGTGTGTTTTTTTCTTTAACACCTGTTTATCGGTATATGGTAACTGTTTATTTACCTATGTACTGACTATTCCATTTTGTTAGTGTTGTAGGCATGTACCGTATATTTATGTAAGACAATTAAAGCAATTGTTTCCAAATGATTTCTAGTGTTGTCATTGAAATTCACGCGTGCATACAGGTGAAAACAGGTGAGCCTTAAGAAGGTGTTACTTTACAAGGCATGATACAGTACAACATACTAGACTAATAGATGATGATGCACATTAAAACTGTTGCAGACTATTGATTGTTCAGCTGTGTTCACCTGCGCTGTACTGTATTCATTGGCTATTGGGTCAATTGGTTTTCTTTTTATTGTTGTCTGGATTCTGTTATGTTATTTCAGAATAAAGGTGAATGTTAGTCTACACCTGAGCAAATGCTATGCTTTTGGTTGAGGTACATATAGTTATAGAGATTTAGATTTATGCAGAAACCGTATGGAAGTAAATTGAGTATATTTTGTTAGCTGGGAGTGTTAATATCACGACGTATCCGTGAGCCGAGCATTTAGGCCAGAATTGGCCCGAGATTCAAACCAAAGTCTCGGCCAATGAGGTTCAACCTCGGTGTGCAGTATTTGGCCTAGATGAGGCCCAACTGATTTTTGCTATCTGGGACACTTAATGTTGAAAGGTAAGACATTGAAACGACGTCGCGATATCAACGTTGATTCATCTTTCAAAATCGAAACATAATCCAACGTTGTTTCACCCTTGATCTACGGCGTTGATTCAACCATGAATAAATGTTGAAATGCCCGCTGGGTTTATAAACAATCCATTAAAATTTTCATAGGAAATCAATATTACCACTTTTGTCATCACTTTTGAGATATAATATGTTGACCTTTTACAATCTAAATTAAAATTGAGAAGTCTGTTTGGTGTTTAAGATAATCCATAATGCTGCTCCACCATTCTTGAAAAGGTTTGCTCAGCTACACACCGAGAATATAGGTAGGGTTACACGAAGGGATGAGTGTGATATTCCTGTATGAGGTGCCACCATTGAACATTCAATATTTCATTTAAAGCCATTAAGTCAAGTCAAGCTTATTTATATAGCGCTTTTTACAACAGGTGTTGTCACAAAGCAGTTTTACAGAAAAATCTGGGTCCAAGCCCCCTTGAGCATCGCCAGTGGCGACAGTGGCAAGGAAAATCTCCCTAAGAGCAAGAGGAAGAAACCTTGAGAGGAACCAAGACTCAGAAGGGGAACCCATCCTCCTCTGGTCGACAATGGATAGTAAACAGCATTAGTATGAAATATTAGAATACAAAAACAGGGAAAAACAGGTGGAGCAATGGTTAATTAGATAGCTTGAGTTTATGCAGCAGCATCATCATCAGGAGCTCTGGTGGCTCCCGTGTGGCAACTCAGGCAAACATCACTCAGGGGCACAAATAAAGGGAGAGAGAGAGACACAGAGAGAGAGAGAGAGACAGAGACAGAGAGAGAGAGAGAGAGAGAGAGAGAGAGAGAGAGACAGAGAGAGAGAGAGAGAGAGAGAGAGAGAGAGACAGAGAGAGAGACAGAGAGAGAGACAGAGGGAGAGAGAGAGAGAGAGAGAGACAGAGAGAGAGAGAGAGAGAGAGAGAGAGAGAGAGAGAGAAATTGATTAACAGAACAGGTCAGTTTATGGAGAGATATTAGTGAGTAATAGTGCAAACAATGGATATTAGCAAAATGCTTGTGCAAACAGAAGTTTTGAGTCTAGTTTTAAATGTAGAGAGTGTGTCTGAGTCCCAAACAGAGGTCGGGAGATGATTCCACAATTTTAGGGCTACGTAGGAAAATGCTCAACCACCTGCTGTGTTTTTTTTATCCTAGAAACTGTCAGCAAGCCGTTATTTTGTGAGTGGAGCGTACGTGTGGGTTCATATGACTGAATGAATTCACTAAGATACTGTGGGGCCATTTAACGATTGATATGTTAAGAGAAGGATCTTATGCGAAATTTAACATCCATTAAGCAATGGATTATGCTTACTGCTGATTTAAAAACATGCATACCCTTACAATATTTTTTTCATAAATTTTAACTTTAACTTTATTTAATCATGGTTGCACTGATTTAATTGGGCACAATAACCAGTGAAGCTCAAAAATGCTGTTATGCTTCAAATATCCAGCTCTTCAAACAATTGCCAAATGCTTGTTCCTAGGTTAGAGCAGTGATGGCATTACTTTCATGAGGCGTCTTGTAGTCAACATTGTAGTACAATTGTTTGCCCAGAAGATGGAGGCACAGAGGTGGCAAAGGAATGGCTCTTTACCTAGACCAGGCATGTCAAACTCGGGACGTTTCGGGCCAAAGTACTGCAGAGGTTAACGTTTACCCTCATCTAACTCTGAATTCAGTTCATAAGGCCGTGCTACTTAGCTGATGAGCTGAATCAGGTTTGTTTAATGAGGCAGTGTGCTGAAGTCTGCAGTGTTTTGGCCTGCAAGGACTGGAGCTTGGCACGTGACCTAGACCATGAAGCAACACTATATATATACATATTTAGTGAGTGTTTCCTATGGCATCAGTGTCAAATTTATTATCAGGTTTTTAATGATTATGCCATCATTTTTCCACAGACCACATTTTATGTTTTTGTCCAAGATGTTAGATTAAGCAAATAAGCAGTAATTGTGACTTAAATGTAATCATAATGCAATACATTATCAGCAGCAATGGATAATATTGGAAAGTGGCTAAATAATTGTAGTTTAATATTGAATATACAAAAAATCAAGCAATGTATTTTACTTCAAAACAAATCCATAAGAGTTATCCCATATATATATGCATCGCGATGCGGACGAACATCTCCAAATGTTCTTCTGTCTTTCACTTTTCCTTTTTCGTTCACTACTAGCTCGGCGAAACCTCGTTCCTAGGTGGTGACCTGCAGTCTGCACGCCAACTGTCAGTCGTTGAGAAACAGGGCGTGAGCAACATAGCGCGAACATAGTCTCGAAGATATTTTACTGACACATCGATATCATATATATATATATATATATATATATATATATAACGATATCTGGTGTTAGAAGAAAACCTCGTATCTCCATTTTTGATGTTTTTTTTTCAGTTTCTTAACATAATTTGAAAATACCTGTTACTCTTTACGTAGTATGTAAATTTTATGATGAATGGACTAAAAGAAATGACCAAAAATGACTTGGGAAAATGTCTGGTTCCATTGACTTACATTGAAAGTAAAGTAGATTTTTTCCTACTCCTGTAAAGTTATCATTTTGTGTATATATATATATATATATATATATATATATACACTTTATTATGGTTTATTTATGGTCCCCTATAGATGTTCCATAGACACTTAAATCTTAAATCATTAACAAACTTTCTGGTGGATATTCAGTTGATTATCAATGACATTATGGTTAGGGTTAGGAGTATGTGTAGGTTTTACCTTGAGGTTAGGGTTAAGGTTAAGGTTAGGGTTAGGGATAGATTTC